GGGCTTATTTTTTATCCATCTAATTTTATCTATCAAGACATATTTAGTTAATTTTTAAATAAGACACCCTGTATATTTGATAAGAACTAAATAGATCATTTGAATGGATTAATCAACACCGTTCAAAAATATACAGTAAAGAAAACAAAAAAAAACATATAATCATATAATCACAGTCAAGGGGCAGCATTGTGTGCATGGCCTTCTGCAAATATTTAGGAGACTAATATAAAATGAATTTTTGGAAGCTTGTAAAAAGACAAATTAATTTCTAGATAAATACACATAAAGCGTCCTATTTAAAAAAAACTAAACAATGGTCGATATTTCACAAACAGAAATATTAAGGAAAAAACTAAGACACTGGATTCCACATAAAGTATAAAGCTAAGCATATACAGGAGCGGAGAGCAGAACAGCGAAAACAAACACACAAGCTCCTTACTACAGCTCATACCAATTAAGGCTGATTCATGGTACACCGTGACGGGCCGGGGCCGTGCGACGGTGAAGGCACGGCCAAACATTGTCAAATGGTATTTATACCTATGCATTCATGCTAAGCCGAGCACGGGCCGAGCTTCTACTACCGTGTCTACTTTACGGAACGTGCCCGGCTCGGGTACGGCCCGGTGTACCATGAATCAGCCTTTAATCTCGTGTGTTTCTTCTCCCCGTTTTGATTTCCGCTAGAGTATGTGCTTACCAGAAGAAATAATTCAACTTCTTGTCAGGGTAGAAAAAAACTGCATTTTTAGTAACATCCTGTAGCAGGAAAACAAAGTAGGCCGCGAGAATTTTGTTTGGCACATTAAATTTTACAAAGAAGTAGTATGGATCGGTGAAAGCCGCAAGGTTCTCTATCTTTATTAATAAAGCGAAAAATCTCACATTTGCTACCAAAATGGGACACTCTGTATAGTGTTAGCTTTTATTTCATTTCGGTTTTAAAAAGGTTTAACTTTATTTTTTGACCTAAAAAAAGAAAATATTATTTTAGTTCAGTGTTTATACCACTGCTATTATAAAAAATTGGACAAAGTAAATTGCTAACCTGTACAGGATGTGTCATTTTCATTCGTTCGTGCTTTAGGGAGTTTCTAGGTTATGAACGGAGATAGAGAAAAAGTTGAGATTTTCGCAAGTTATCAACGGAAGGTGTATTTTATATATTTTATGTACAGGTTGTCAATCAAAATAAGGTAATTGCACACAATTTATCTCTATAAAAAAGTGCTTAGTTTGTCCATTAGAGATCATGAGAATTTAAAAATATGAACATAATGTTTTAAGATAAAAACATTTGCGTTTAAAAAGAACGTTACACTGAATTATGTTTTTACATTTACAATAAGTTTTTATTATCTGAATACAAGGGACGGTTAAAAGCATTTATCAGAATCACCCTGTAGCTCAAAAACTAAGAAGGTTATAACATGTGATTTAAAAAAAGTAAAAAAATTACGTCAAAGGCGTCTGGAAAATGACAATCGCTAATCATTTTGGCGAGGTCAATCTCTAGACGTCATTTAGTAAAATTTTACATAAAACTTCAATATTAACACTAATTATAGAAAGAAGATTATAAAAAAGGTTAAAACGGTTCTAGACACACAAATCTATTTCCAAAAAATATTTTTTCCCGTAATTTTAAACTACGCCATTTAAAAATCATTTTTACTCAATATAAAAATAAATTACAACCTTCTTAAGGGTAACTGGCAGTAAGCGCCATTAAACAATAAAGAAGAGGACGGGCCAAGAAAATGAAGTCTAGGGCTTGAGTTCACAAAAATTGTCATCGTCATTCCCCAGCCGTTCATGACGCCGTTTTTTTTCGCCCGTAGGGTATTTTATTAAAATTTACTTCCTATCTCCGTTCACATAAGGGAGAAACACTATAAAACATGAGATACCCATGTTAAACGGTTTCGTCATTTCCACATTTAGTTGCAATTAAGAGCTTTCTCGCTTATTAGTAAAGAATATTAAATGTCGAACTCATCGTTACTTAAATGAACCCATTATTTTTTTATCAAAGCAAAGATACGGTCCACAAAATTGTCATGGTCCTCTTAGTTTCCATGATACAATATGTTGCAGTTTTATACACACCCCATATTATATCAGTAGTCTGAAAAAAAAATAAAAACAGATTCATATACTTAGAACATATTAGGTGGAACCAGAGGCATAAGAATAAGTTTTTTTCTTAATATTTTCATTACACACCCTGTATACTTCTCAAAAAAATAATCTTCGTCCTTCACAAGCTTTCAAAATATATATGTAACAGTATATTTTAGTTAAAAGCTGCAGAATTAATAATTTTAAAATAATACAAATAAAAATTTACATAGAACCATGCCAAAACAATGCTGCTATTGTCTTTTAATTGGCGAAACCAATTTTGATCTATTTAATTTTTAAATGAAAAGTTTAAACAATAAAGAACTAAAAATACAAATACTAAGAACAATGACATAGGATATAACAAAATTTGTATTAAACTGTTTTACCTAAAATTAAAAACTGTGACTTATGGTGGCTTGTGAGAAGATACATTAATTTCCAGACAAATATACGGGCGACCCCATTAATAGAAACAAAACATTGGTCGATATTTAAAAAAAAATATATTTAAATTATTTAAAGAAATTAAAAAAGAAGTTCCATAGCGATATGTTAATTTATTGATAAGTTGTCAGACTACTGAAATAGGAGATGTATCTGAAACTGTAACATTTTCAAAATCACCTTGTATATTTTTTAATTGAAATTTGAAAACAATACTTACTTAGAAAGCAATAAACAAATATATTAATTATTCTACAAATTTTAACTTTTAAGTGTTTGAATGAGTAAAAATCGATTAGGCAACAATATTAAAAGGGGACCGTGGCAATGTTATTTTTCATAAAAATCAAGTTTATAAAAATCTCAATGTCCTATCCTTACTAATGAGCGAAAAAGTTCAATTGGACAGTCTGTACAACATTATTGACTGATAAACTTTTCCTAGCAAGCGCCAACACTTTCAATAAAGCACACAAAGTGGAAATGATAAAATGACGGAAAATACCCCCCACTCATAAGGAAGTGACAAATACCATTCACATGAGCATACCAAACATTGCGTTATATTTTAGAGCATAGCCGTTAGTTTTTCCTTGATTACAATTTAAATAAACATTTTAACAATGGAAGTTTTTACAAGGTTTGTTGTTTATTTTCCGTTTAAACTAATATAAAATTAAAAATTGCATAAATTAATTAATCGCTCATCCCATGAATTAAAATTATACAAAAAAAATTGAAGTGAATAGTTGATAAATAAATAAAAAACATATTAAATAACAAGGTAAACTTCTAGTTAACTGAAATTTTAAATGGCTTTAATATGTGCTCTAATATTAATGGCATATTTTGTAATAAAAAGATTGAAGTGAAAATCTCAAATAGGACACCTAGTTTATTTAACACTGAGCCACCCTGTAGCCATTTAAACGATTTTTTAAATTGAAATTTGAAAGCAATACTTCCTTAGAAAGCAATAAACAAATATATTAATTATTCTACACATTTTAACTTTTAAGGTGTTTAAATGAGTAAGAATCGATTAGGCAACTAGTTATACTAAAATTTAAAGAAATTGAGATAACTATTTTGAGCTTTATATAATTTACGCAATTTTCTATTGGAGTACAGTGGTGGATTAATCATTACACAATTACAAATCTTAATCCCATGACTGACTAAATATTTAAAGATTCCAAAATTACAGTTTACAGCCTTAAAATTAGTTCAGATAATTGATGAGTGCTAATTAAATAAATTATTTTAGAAAAAGCTCGCCAGATGCATACAAAACAACAGTGTCAGCTCATAAAAATGTTATTTAATGAAATTTATTTGTGTCGAGTAATTTGAAGTAGTAATTACTTAAGAGTATTTTTTTTAATATATTCTACTTTCAAATATCTGGATATATTTAATTTCTAAATATTCGCAATGCCGCAATTTTGTTATTTATAAAGTATATTATTATAAAATTAAGGGTGTTTTATTTAAATAGCAGAGTAAGACATTATATTATATTTAGTTACCAACATATAAAGTATTTTAGTATAATTTGTTTTGATCTTTCAATTAAAAAAATACGACTTTATAAATTTGTGAAAGCTTTAAAAATGTACAGGAAAAATCTAAAATAACAATAGAATTAAAGTTTGAATAACATTTCATTTAAATACTACCAATATAAAGCAAAAATATATTAAAAACACCCTGTGTATATCTACGAACTGGCTTTAAAATATGGTCTACTCTAACCCGTATGTTTTATAAAAAAATTCAGTAAAAATCTTAAACTGAAGAAGTACCTAACATGATTATTTTTGGAACATTGGGCCACTCTGTGGTAATATAAATTATTCTTTTTTACCTACTAAAAAAAAAGATTCTTAATTAGCTGATTAATTATTAGACACGACAAAAAAATATTTAACACGAAAAAAGAAATGACTGTAAACGTAGTACTCAGAATCTCTAAAACGCTTACAAAATATATAGATGTATGATGTATACAAAACATTTTTATAACAAAAATACAGCAATAGATCACAATAATATAAATATAGAAAACAGATAATAACATATGTACAGAAATAGTACAATATTATCGAATAAAAATGACGTCGGCGATGGCTTAGAAATATTTCCTATTACAGATAGCAAAGGTAAGCTATAGATCAATATTATTAACAAGATATTAAAAACAATATTTATAAAATTCTAATACACCAAATAATATACAAAATTGGTATTAAAATATATCTTTTTGTGACATTTAAGTGGAATGAAATCTATGTCAAAAGATTTTAAATGTTGAAGGACCAAATTAAAAAAGATATGCCACATATAAAACTAGAATTATTATTTTTGTGTAAAAATGTATTATATCTTAAAATTATATATTTAACAAATATGTATATATAAACGTTAATTTTTATATTATGACTTATGATATTTCAACTGATCCTACAATAAATATATTATATACCCTAGCAGACCATTTTCATATGTAAAATCTGTGTAAAATTCATAAATTTTAGGAGATAAAGTTTGTTTCATATTTTATAAAAAAATTATTAACACATAGCAAACAGCAGTTTGTATTTTTCAGAGATGATGGGTCGTAGAGGTCTAATAGATATGTTAAATAAATATGACAAGATAGATACAATTTAAATACTAAAATTGAGAGAAAAAATTACTACTGGAAATAAGATTTTTTTAAATAATAAGAACATTACCACAACATTACATAAGAATCGATTAGGCAACCAGTAATACTAAAGGTTAAAATTCATGTATTTATTTTCAATTGAACTCTTCTAAAATAATTAATTTATGCCATTTTGAGTGGATTACAGTGGTATATTAACTAGTACCCTTGATTCTAGTACATACATTAAAAAACATTTAAAAAAAATACAATTTTAGTATAAATATACTTGAATCGCACAGTATATCTACGAAAAATAATTTTAAAATGTGTGCTCACAATATATTTGTTAAAAAAATTGAAATGAAAATACTAAAAAGAAAAATATTTTTATAAGGAATGTATTTTTTATGAAAAATGTTAATAAAAAAAGCTTTTGCTCTTGTTCTGAGGACATACTGTATTTAAAGAAAATTCTGCACATAAAAAAGAAAACAATGCATGAAGTGCATTGCTCTCTGTGTTAAAGAAACAAATTTTATCACTAAAATTTAAGTACAAAATAGATATAAACATAACTGTTTTAAAATCATATAAATTGATTAAAAACATCTGTGTTAGGGTACCAAAAACAATTCTCAAAAGCAAAAAAAACTATATGAACACAAGTATCCAAAATTGATTTAGTAAAAAAATTATTTCAAAAAAAATAAACACTAATAAATCATTTCTACTGGCTTGACATTGGTATTCAATAATCAAATTTAATTTCTATGAAAAAATATTAAATTGACCATTAACTATTAAATTATCATCCGGTTGAAGATATAGTTAGTTAAATTCTATAAAATTTAGTTTTCCGTTAATACAATAAATGAAATATTAAAAAACATAAACTTTAAAACCAAAATAATACTTGTGTTCATAGGGCTATAGTGACGCAGCTGCGCAAGTATAAAAATTATAATTTTGATAATCTGGGAATAAACTTAGAGAAGCTTAGGAAAATATAAATAGTACAAGATAAACATAAATTGGAAATGATACAAGCCTATAAAGATTGTTTTTTAATTCTTTTAAAAAATACCTTTGACGAAATCCAGAATACAATATAGTTTTATTTAATAACAATTTAATGATTGAACTAATGGAAGTAAATATAAGATAGATTAAGACAATATCAACAGAGATAAGGGTCCTATTCATAAAATAAAGTGTATTTCTCTTAACTAGTGTTTTATATTGCAAAAGCTTAAGAAAAAAAAGGTTTCTATCCAGATCATCAAAATTTTACAAAAAATTAACATTAAAAAAAATGACGCCTGATATAATTATATAGTAAGAAGATAAAAACCAATAAACAAATTTATTGAAACAATAACACTATTAATGAAGTTAACGAACCTTGGTGAGGCATTGAGGAGTATTGAGTCTGCTTTATGTTGAATGAAGGAGGAAAGTGAGGAGTAGGAGCAACTGTTGGGGGGATATCCATTGTTAAGAAAATGCAGAGATATCTAAAAAATAAAATAAAAATAATATTAAAAAAAGAATAAAACGATCTATGTAAAAATTAAAATAAATATATTTCTATTAAGGCAATAACTATGTTTTTTAAATTAATAATTTGTATATACCCTATGAGAAAAAAAAACAGCATTATAGTGGCTTTTGTAATAACAATTGATGACAATTATTTCTGCCAGGTGGACCACAATATATCATTTATAAAAAATTGGTATAAAAATTTATAAAAATTAAAGAATGATATGTTAAAAAAATTCAAAGCTCCCATTTTTTTAAATTAAGGTTTTCACCTTTGAATAATAATTGGTATGTTTGAAACTTTTTTCTCCTGTTTTTCATTTAAATATTATTTTTGACAAGTTTTAATATCAATTTTTAAATGACATATAGAAATAGACGTTGACCTCAGAGAGGTGTGCAGCGTGCAGCTTGAATATTATGAAAACTTAACATAATTTTCAAGCTTGTCAATGAAATTTAGTAAGAAAAAAGAGATAAATAACTTACCAGTGATGAAGGAAGCTTTTTGATGTCCACCATAATATTTGCAGATAGTACGGCTTGTGGTTTTTCAACAGCAATTGTCCCAGCGTATACCTAAAATTCCAAAAAAATATTAAGTAAATTTTTACTATACTAATTTTGGAAGATTTCTGAAAACAAGATTAATAAAACGAAACAAAAAGATTAATTAAATTATATTTATTAAAATATGTATATAGTATTTATTGCGTTTATTCTAGTGGGAACATTAATATATCATCAAGGTGTGTGTATGAGTTCTGTAATTTTAAATCAAACAGTTTTAAATAGCGAATGTTGACAATTTGGCGAAGGATTTTTTTTTAAATAGTTAATTGTGTGTTGTAATCAATATAAATTGTGTGTACATAGTGCGAAAATAAATCCGTTAAATATTTTATCGTGAGTTTAAATTAGTGGATAAACAGAATCCGTAACAATATGCAACCAGTAATACAGTATCAGCATTTTATTTTATCCTGCCTATTTTTAATAGTTGTTGGCTTTTCTAATATTGGAACAAAAGCGCTTGTATATATTTAAAAAAAATTCACGCTGTCCAATGAAATTTTATAAGATAGATAAATAACTTACCATTGATGAAGAACTGGATCGCCTCTAACAGCTATTAAGTAACAGCAGTTCAAAATTGTTTTCCTTGATTTCTTCTGCACAAGTTTCATTCCATTTAAATCTCTTTTATGACCACCATACCTATCCTATGCCTAAATAAAAAAAAAATATTATTATTATTAAAAATTATTTAAATTTTTTATTATAGCAATTTTTGAAGCTATCAGAAAACAGACAATAACATAAATTATAGTGGGAGAACGTTTAGTTTTAACATAAATTATGTTAATATTTAGAACTATGTAACATAACAAACAAATAATAGACATTTTTTATATTAATTTGAATAAGTTATAAAAAGTTATATAAATTAAAAAAAAAACTTTTATTGATAACTTCAGAAATGATATAAAAATTGTAAAATTCACTGGATAAGAAAATAAAACATTATTAAATGACTTAATAATAATCCAAAAAATAAATATCTAATTTACTAGATATATAGAAAAAGAAAAAAATAATATTCAGTAATAATTCGTAAATTTATTGCGTTATTTTGGTGATCTTTAATAATTTTGAAATAAATTTAAAGATATGCAACCAGTAAAACACGGTAGCATTGTATTTTTTTCCACTTTAACTGGCCATACCTTTTTATTTTTTTGAGCTCTAATATTAATTAAAAAAACAATTATATTAGTTTTCTAGTCAAGTTTTAATACGGTTTTTTATTATAAATTTTTTATTATTATAAAAAAATGCGTTTATCTTGCTAGAAACTTTAAAAAATTATTTTTAAACTCGATTTAAAAACAATGCAATAATTTTATATTACATATTTTATGTATAATCACTTGTATGCAACCAGTAATACAGTCTGTGTGTGATTTTATCCTTAACAGTCTTTTTTTATCACAAAACAATACAAAACTAGGATCTATTAATATTTGAACAAAAAAGCTTGAATATGATGGAAAATTTAATAAATTTTCAGCATTTTCAAGCTTTCTAATGAAATTTTATAATCAGTTGATAGACATAACTTACCATTGTTAAAAGGCAACAGGTGTTGAAGTCAATCCAGTAAATGGCATTTTTCTCTGTCCATTAAATGTGATTAAAGGTTTTCCATTAAAACTGGAACTTGAACTGGAAACAGCAGCTATCAAAACTCTCCACTAACATCAATTTGTACAGCCCACTAAAAATAGAAAAAATAAATAAATACATTTTTATAACATCAATTTCTCCTCACATCTTTAAATATTGAAAAATATGTTTTTTTTAATATTTTATGTAAATATTAAAAAAATACAACGCAATAGTAACTCTTTAAAATATTACCAAATATTCATAGATTTTACAAAAAGAAAACATATTTTAACTATTATATTATACTAGTTAAAATTGTTGATACAAATTTGTAAATAACTACAGAGATTGAAACAAATATATTAATATATTTTCAATCTGAAACTTAATTTATTTTGAATTTAAAGAATACAATTTTGTAGTTAAACACATAAATTGTAGCCTTAAAAATAATAAAAAAATAAAAATAACTTGCCATTTTCATAGCGCAACGGTAATGAAGGCCAATCAATCCAAATACTATTGATTGTATCTTAAAATTGTCATTTGTGGGTAAGATTTTCAGTATCACTTTATTCAAAAAATTCCTTGGCATTCCTCCAACTTATGTACAGTAGTAACTCATTTGCAGATTTGTAACAGCAACTATTAACGCCAAGTACATCACTCGAACAGATATCTAAAAATAAAAAAATAAACAAATATTAATAAGTATATTAATTTGCATCAATGTAGAAAATTAAAATAAACAAGTTGAAGCCTGGCGCATCCGCCACGACATCAAAAAAAAAATACTTTTTATTTTTTTTTTAATTAAATGAAAAACAAAAAATACGGCGACGACAGTTTTTAGAAGAGCTATCTTTTAGTAAAAAAGCAACTTTCTAGAGCAAGTCGTTACTTCAGTAGAGACGACACAGATAAACATTAGCATTTTATATATGTAGATAAGAAAACATTGTAATATCAATATAGATAGGCAAAATACAAAATTAAGTTGATTTGAATAAAAAAATTCTCCTAATAAATTTAAAATTAAATATTGCACCGAAAGTTATTGAAATATACACATTATGTGTAAAATATGTCATAACTTCCAAGCTTTCCAAAAGCTTTAATAGAAAAGAAAATAATATGAAAAAAAATTACCATTTTTGAGAGATATCTGCGTTGTTGAAGTCAATTTAATGTCCTGTATCTACTGTAGAATAAATTGGTCATTTGTGAGCCTTTCCCAGTTTAAATTATGTCAAAACTTCTTTGGTGTTTCTAATAATTCGTCCAAGTTGTTATAACAACTGCCATTCTACATTTCCACCAATAGATATGCTTGTATAATACATAAATAAAAACTTAAAAAATACATAAATAAAAACTTGATGTCCAAGATACCAATATCATCTATAAAAAAATAAAAGTTGTGATAAGTATTTATTTTTTGTAACTAAATGAAAAAAATTACCTTAATACAGTTGCTCCAAATTCCCTTCAAAAAACTTCCGTTACAGCGAACAAAATCCTCCTCCTTTCCTCAAACATCTTCTATCTCCTTTCCTTCTATTTCAAAGCAATCCTCTTCCATCTTCTCTGTCCTCTTCTATTTTCCAAGTCTCACCAATTCTTATTCAACTACTTATATAACTAACTTATACACATTTCAGGCATCTTACAAACATTTTTTAAAAAGGGGGAAAAGGGATATAATGCTACAACAAACGACTACGCTAGCGCACCTACCTAAAAAAAGGAAAACACTTTTTTTAGTCAAAGAAAATGATAAATATAAAGTTATATAAATTTACCTGATGGCATCTAGAAGATAGCCCTAATCCTGCTGTTGTCCCCCAAAAAAATTCATTCCAAAGCAGTTTAGTACTAAAAAGATTTATGCAGGAACAAACTGAATTTAATTTTAGTAACAAAAATAAATTACTATTATTTTAATTCTCATTATAATGTAAAATTACATTATTTACTAATTTACGTTTAATTAAAAATCACTATTAAAAAAATTAAATAATATTATGAATTTTAAAATAAGACGAAAAATAGTTATTTCCAAATATATAATAGAAAAACAATATGCTACCTAATTTTGTCTCTTTCGAGTTATTTTTTTATTACCATTATTGCTAAAAAACTTTATATTAAGGCCTTGTATAGAGTAAGAAAAAAAGTAAAAATGAAATATAAAAATTGCAAATTAAAAAATGAGTACTTAATGCAACATTCTGTAAATGTAGGGAACCTAAAGTTACTGCTTTGGAACCACAACGCGAACCGACTTTTGAAGTTCTCCAAGCCATACTGTATCACCTGTAAGAGAAAAAATTATATTAGAATATTTCAAACAAATACATATGCTAGAAAAAAAACAACAAGCTATAGACAACAAAAAAAAACAATGTAAAAATATTAAAACTCACCATCACATCTTGCTTAAGTTCATTTTCAGTCCCATCATAATAATTATACGGCGAAAAAAACAGTGGCGTCTCACTGCTATGGGGCACATCGAATGCCCCCAACTCCATGGACTTCGGTCGATCCTCTAGAGTTGACAATAAACACGTTTTCCAGGTATTCGACGGTGCCTGGAACAATCCGAATTTTTTTGGGACTAATCATATGCAGCATGTAGATAGAATTTCTGACTTCTTCAATCTTGTTTTTTAAGATCGCGCTGCGAACCCGGGTTGTCCTAAAACAATGAAAAAAAAATAGTTATATAAGTAACTACGTTTAATTAGAATTATTATTATATCTACTATAAGTTTTAAAAAAGTTGCTCTAATTACTATACAAGTTATTCTACTTTAAATTGAAGCTCATGTATGTTGTAACAAAAAAACTAAAATATACAACACTTATACAGGGTGAGTTTCCTACGATGTTCTCTATGGGTATATCGGAAACTACTGGAGATAGAGAGTCGGTTAAATGGGGAAAGAATTGCAGTTTTGTGGGGTCATAAATATGCGCCTTTCAGATTTTTGAAAAAGTTTATGGCTTTCTAGATATTTCGAAAAAAATAAATTTCGGCTATTTTAAAAATTGTCCCTAATTCCCTTATAAGCTATTTTAGACAAAAATTTTTCAGATAAAAGTTGAAGATAATCACATCCTTAATGAGACTGTGTCCTCCGTTTTTTTCTAAAGCGTGTCATTTTTGACATATGACACAAACATAGTTTTTTTTTAAATGGAAACCATAGTTGGCCATGACTTCATTTGCTCTCAGAAAGGTCAAGCTGTCACATCCAAACTTTGTAAATTAAAATAAACAAAAATTGTAAATATGAATTTTTAAAATGAAGAAAAGCGTGTGGATACCCGCGCATCAATAGAGTGGTTCCAACATGACTTTCATTATGACACACCACCCCCCACCCCCCATAATGAAAGAAATGTTAAAAATTATTTATATCATAATTATACAAACACAGGGATAGGAAGAGGTGGACTAGCTGCATGGGCCTCCTCGATCACCTGACTTAGATTTTTTTATGCGGTATAGTTAACAATAAGGTTTACTAAAGAACTTATGAATTAAGAGAGGCACTCGAAGTGGCGGTACAAGAAAAGTTTAATAAAGTCGACCGGTCCTTCTGTGAGAATAGGTAGTAGTTCAGTTTTAAAAACATGCAACTCAAAACAATGGCGGATTTTTTGAACATTTTTTAAAATAACTTAAAGTGTATGTAGTGATATTATTTTTTTAAGTTTTATTTTGTGTAATGTAAATTGTAAAGAACCGTTTAGTAATATATCCTGACTTTTTATAAGTTATAAATCATCATAGAATAATATCATGCAATCTAAGTGAAATTATTTAAGAAATTAAGAATTATTGGCTATAATTTAATTTAACTTTTCTAACATGTCTTGAAAACCGTTCTCTAAAAAACGTAACATTCACCGGTCAACGTATCCTCGAAACTGTATGGCCAAAAAAAGTTGAACCAATAATCCTACACGCTTTTCTTCATTTGAAAAATTCATATTTACAATTTTTATTTATTTTAATTTGCAAAGTTTGTATGTGACAGCTTCACATTTATGAGAGCGAAGACGATTAAACTTGTTTCCATGGCTAACTTAGTGAAATTGTTTAAAAATGATAAGAATTGGCTATAACTCAGTAATTTTTCGAAAAAAACATATTATAGCTTATATCGCTGAAAAGCTTAAAAACGGCGCTTTTTGTGGAGTCATGGACAACTATGGTTTCCATTTAAAAAAACATATGTTTGTGTCATATGTCAAAAATGACAGGCTTTAGAAGAAAACGGGGGTCACAGTCTCATTAAGCATGTGATTATCTACAACTTTTATCTGAAAACGTTTTGCCTAAAATAGCTTATAATGGAATTAGAGACAATTTTAAAAATAGCCGAAATTTGTTTTTTTCGAAATATCTAGTAAGCCATAAATTTTTTCAAAAATCTGAAAGGCGCATATTTATGACCCCACAAAACTGCAATTCTTTCCCCTTTTAACCGACTCTCTATCTCCAGTAGTTTCCGAGATACTCATAGAGAACATCGTAGGAAACTCACTCTGTATATAAAAAGAATTTTGACTGCTATATGGTGCAATAAAAAAGTTATTTGGTAGAGTGTACATTAAAAGTTTACAATTTAAAGAAAGTAATATAAAAAAATTAGACTTACTTTTAACAGGTTTAAGTTAGGCCTGGTTATGCTCGCCTCCTACCGACATTTTCTGCCTTCAAAATTCGACGCGGGGCAGACCAAGAGAAAAAACAAAAAAATGTTTCCACGACCCGCCTGCGAGTGTGTGCTAGTTGCCTTCCTTATGCAGATTCGACCCATTGGTCGACGATTAAGCCTCACCAGTCAGTTCCCATCCCAATTAAGCCGCCTCATCTGGGGTCACCCTCGTCACCCGTCGGACGGACATCCACCGGGACCCCCTACAGGCGGACCCCCCTCGTCATCTTCAATGTGTCCGATATCCCGCCCCCTGCCTCTTCGAGGGTCACGGAATACGTGCACGAAGAAGTCTCGGAGCTTGGGTGCCAGGTTGTATCCGGCCGAAGCCTCTAGCATTAGAACACCTAGCTCGTAAACCAGAGGGTGGTGACTCCCTTGGGTACCTCTGCATGCTACACAGGTCATCGATGCCCGAACATCAGGGTTAGGGGGTGACCCAATAAGTCTCCTCTCTTGGGGAAGGCCGCGCCGCGCTCTGGAGTCATCTTAAGCTCGGGAATCCACACCGACAAAAACACTGTTAACCAACTGCATCAGCTAACGAAATTCACTAATGTTGAATTAGGAAATTTTATTAACCAACACAGAGAGCTAGCAATGCTCGTGTGAGTGGGGAAGGAGTGTGTGGTGTTGTAGTATTAATATAACGCGCCTAAAAAAAGAAAAAATATTGGAATACCTATAAAATTATTATCGAACACCTATAAAAATATTACGACAATATAATATATTGTTTATATTATAAATAGGTATATTTATTTTAAATGAAAAAAGAGATGCTCCATTTATACCTTCAGCAATATTTTATAAGATTTTTTCCTTGGTTATTATACCTACCAAAAATGTCAAAAATATAAAGATGTTATATGTGTTATATGACCTAGGGAAAAAAGGGATATAAATTTGATGAATATGGTCAAAATCCAAAGAATTTTTCCATGATGCAACACATAAAAAAATAAAAATACAGTTTTGCAAATAAAAAAAAATACAGAATTTCTAAAAACTCTGTATTATTAAATAATATGTTACAACTCTAAAGTTGTAACATATTATTTAGAGCTAAAAGTTAAACCTACAGTGTTTCAAATAAATAAAAAATATTAAAGTTATATTTTTTTTTAACAATGAGACATCCTATATACATATTTTATTACATTTTTAGTTTCTACTATGAACATAAAAAACATTCGATCAAAATTTACCTCAAAATTATACTTATATACTGTTTTCGAAATATTTTAGTTTTTATAAAAATTCAGTAACGATTTATTTCTTCAATGCAAATTTACAACTAATACTGAATTAGCAAAAATCATTTGTCAACATTAATACTATTTTTTAACATGGTATATTACATAACGCGCTTTAAAAGAGAAATATATTTTGAAATACCAATATCAGAAATCATTACAAAAATGCTGAAACATAAATATTACGTAGGATTCTTAAATAAAAAAAATATGTAATAAAATTCCCAATGAACTTAAATACAAAAAACCTACTCATTCAAAATATTATTAAAATGCGCATATTATATTTTTAAAAAATAAAGAAAACTCTATTATGCCCTATAAAAAGAAATTTAAAATAAAAATAGCAATTTAGAAAAAATCAAGACATCGAATTCCAACAGGCGGCCATTTTATTTAAACATTCCTTGACCGAAAAAATTAAACAAAAAATCAAAGATATACATTACGTAATTTACCAAAAATGTAGTACTATTTTACCCTTATGTAACACGCAGTATAGAAAGTACCGAAAATACATAGTTTTACATACTTATCTATTAAATACGTATATTATTGAAACAATATCCTTAAAAATTAATATGGGGAACATTGAGAACAAGGCAGCCATGATGGATATTTCGAAATACAAAAATTTTAAACTAAAATATCTCAAAAAATACATAAAATTACGGGTACCTACTTTTTCAGGAGGCTAAGCAGGGCACTAGTAACAGATTATGCATAAATTGTGTACACTAAACGCACTTTTTCGTCAGAAAATTAAAAAAAAATCGATGCAACGGACGGGAGGACGTGCGGATCCTTCGATTGCAAACGACTAGCAGGACCGGCGTTGCCAGATTGAAGTCATTCGTAAAATTTAAGCTGCTCATAAAATTAATTTATTTATTACTAATAAAATTGTTTATAAAAAAATTCTTGTAAATTAAGCTTAATTTTGTTCTCAGAACTTATTATTTACTCAATATACGTTCCACT